GGCTGTCGCCGCCGCCGGCGCGGCGCCGCCGCGGGCTGCGTCCCCTCGTCCGCGCCGTCCCTCCCCTCCTCGACGTCCACCTCCATGGCCCCGGAGTTGAGGGAGAGGAGGCAAGGGGTGAATGGGTAGAGTGAGCGGGGGAGGGAGGGCCCGGCCGGGCAGTGGCTGCGGCGACTTGAACCTCCTCCTCCTCCTCCTCCTCCTCCTCCTCCAGGAGGCCCCAAGAGTGCCCCAAGACGCTCCCAAGATGCCTCCTCATCCTCCTCCTCCTCCTCCTCCTCCTCCACCTCCTCCTCCGCCTCCTCTTGATCTTCCCGCCATCCTCCCCCAAGTGTTCCCCGAAGGCTTTCCACAACGGTTGGGGGGGCCCATGGCCCGATACATTGGCAGAGCTTGTGCCACAACGCTCGGCCACACTGGCGATTCTAGAAGGCGGGGGGCGGCGGTGATTCGCCGTAGGCGTCTTCGATCCGCCGCCCCCTGCTGATTCATCACAGGGGTGCCTGGCGTGCTGGGTCCGTTCGGTTTCGGTCTTGGCTCTTCTTCCAAAAGAACTCCCCCCTGGGGCTTCGGCCCGTCCCGCCGGCCACCCGAAAGGGATCCCAATCCTGGAAAAATCCCCCAAGACGACTCAAGATGGCCTCCAAGATGGCCACGTTGGCCCAAGATGGCCTCCAAGTCCGCCCAAGATGGTCCAAGACGGCCTCCAAGACGGCCCAAGAGAGTCCAAGATACCTCCAAGTTCGCCAAAGAAGCCTCCAAGACGGCCCAACACGACCCAAGATGTCTCCAAGAGTCCTCCAGCCCGAAGAAGCCAAAATCATTAGTTTTCCTGAGGTGCTTGAAAGATTTTGGCACTTGCTTCTTCTCGGCGCAAGAGGCCCCCGAGATCGCCCAAGAGGCCTCCAAGAGGTCTCCAAGATGGCCCCATGACTGCCCAAGGGGCCCCAAAGATGGCCCCACGAGGGCCCCAAGACAGCCTTGAGGCCTCCAAGACGCCCAAGATAGCCTCCAAGACGGCTAAGATGGCCTCCAAGATGCCTCCAACACGGCCCAAAATGCACCCAAGACGGCCTGGGATGGCCTCCAGATGGCCTAAGACGGCCCAAGAGGCCCCCAAGAGGCCTCCAAGACGGCCCAAGAGGCCTCCAGGAGGGCCCGAAGAGGCCAAAAGGATTTTGGCATGTGTTTCTTCTCGGCATTCCGACGGCTCAAGACGGCCCAAGAGGCCCCCAAGATCACCCACGAGGCCTCCAAGACGGCCCCATGACGGCCCAAGAAGCCCCCAAGACGGCCCCAAGAGGGCCCAAGAAGGCCCCAAGGCGGCCAAAATGGCATCCAAGACGGCTAAGATGGCCCCAAGATGCCTCCAAGACGGCCCAAAATGCACCCAAGACGGCCTAAGATGGCCTCAAGATGGCCCAACACGCCCAAGAGGCCCCGAAGACGCTTCCAAGACGGCCCAAAAGGCGTCCAGGAGGACTTCCAGGAGGACACGAAGAGGGCACAATTAGTGATTTTCGTTCGGTCTTTGAAAGATTTTGGCATTTGCTTCTGCTCGGCATTCCGACGGCTCAAGACGGCGCAAGAGGCCCCCAAGATCACCCAAGAGGCCTCCAAGGTGGCTCCATGACGGCCCAAAAGGCTCCCGAGACGGTCCAAAAGGCCCAAAAACGGCACAAGAGGCCTCCAAGACCCCCAAGATGGCCGCTAAGAACCCCTGATATGGCCCAAGAGGGCCCCAAGACGACCCAGACAGGACCGCAAGACCGCTTCCGACGGCGTCAGACAAGCCAGGAACGCCCTAAGACGGCCAAAGAGGCCCCCAAGAAGCCCTCGAAGGCCCCCACAATCCCTCCATGAGGGCCCCAAGAGTGCCCCAAGAGGCGCCCAAGAGGCCTCCTCCTCCTCCTCCACCTCCTCCTCCTCCTGCTTTTTTTTTCCTCATCCTCCCCAGCCTCCTCTTCTTGCTCCCCCATGCGTTCCCCGAAGTTTTTCCAAACCGACTCGGGGAACAAATGGCCCGATAGATTGGCCAAGCTCTGGCCCAGTTGTCGGCCACAGAGGCGCTTCAAAAGGAGCAGGGGGCGGTGGTGATTCGCCGTAGGCGTCTTCGATCCGCCGCCCCCTGTTGGCTTGCCACAGGGGTGCCCGGCGTGCTGAATCCTTTAACTTTTGGCTATTTTAGAAAAGTGCCTGGGGCTTCGGCCTGTCCCGCCGGGGTCCTGGAAGGCCCAGAAGCCACCAGAAACCACCCCAACGTTCGCAAACAAAATCCAAGACGATTCAAGATGGCCTCTAAGATGGTCAGGTTGGCGCAAGATGGCCTCCAAGATGGCCCAAGATGATCCAAATTGTCCTCCGAGACGGCCCAAGAGAGTCCAAGATGTCGTCAAGTTCGCCCAAAAAGCCTCCAAGACGGACCAAGATGACCCTAAGACGGCCAAAGACTGCCCAAGAGGCCCCCAAGAGGCCTCCAAGAGCTCCTCCAGGAAGGCCCGACAAGGTTAGAATCATGGATTTTCCTTAGGTGTTTGAAGGATGTTGGCTTTTGCTCCTTTTCAGCTCTCCGACGGCCCAAGACGGCCCAAGCGGCCCCCAACATAGCCCCAAGAGCGCCAAAGAAGGCCCCAAGACGGCCCAAGAGGCCCCCAAAACGCCCAAAGTGGCCTCCAAGACGGCCAAGATGGCCTCCAAGATGCCTCCAACACGGCCAGGATGGCCTCCTGGACGGCCAAGATGGCCCCAAGATGCACCCAAGACGGCCCAAGATGGCCTCAAGATGGCCGCAGACGGCCCTACAGGCCCGCAAGAGGCCTCCAAGACGGCCCAAGAGCCCTCCAAGACGTTCTCCAGGAAGGCCCGAAAGGGCCAAAATCATTGAAATGTCCTCCGGTTTTTGAAGAACTTCGGCATGTTCGTTTTGTTCAGCTCTCCGACGGCCCAAGACGGCCCAAGAGGCCCCCAAAACGCCCAAGGTGGCCTCCAAGACTGCCAAGATGGCCTCCAAGATGCCTCCAACACGGCCAGGATGGCCTCCTGGACGGCCAAGATGGCCCCAAGATGCACCCAAGACGGCCCAAGATGGCCTCAAGATGGCCGCAGACGGCCCTACAGGCCCGCAAGAGGCCTCCAAGACGGCCCAAGAGCCCTCCAAGACGTTCTCCAGGAAGGCCCGAAAGGGCCAAAATCATTGAAATGTCCTCCAGTTTTTGAAGAACTTCGGCATGTTCTTTTTGTTCAGCTCTCCGACGGCCCAGGACGGCCCAAGAGGCCCCCAACATCGTCCCAAGAGCGCCAAGACGCCTCCAAGATGGTCCCATGACTGCCCCAAGAAGCTCCCAGGAGGCCCCAAGAGTGCCCCAAGACGCTCCCAAGATGCCTCCTCCTCCTCCTCTTCCTTCTCCTCCTCCTCCTCCTGATCTTCCCCGCCATCCTCGCCCAAGTGTTCCCCCAAGGGTTTCTACAACGGCTGAGGGAACACATGGCCCGATAGCTTGGCAAAGCTCTTGCCACAACGCTCGGCCACATGGGCGATTCCGAACGGCAGGGGGCGGCGGTGACTCGCCCTAGGGGCCTTCGATCCGCCCCCCCCTGTTCGCTTGTCACACCTGTACCAGGCGTTCCTTTGCATGCACATCGCCTTCGGCACCGCCTGATTCCAGGGCTTTGCCCTCCCTTGGCCTTGACGTGAGGCCCTTCCTTCTGCCTTCCCCCCTCTGTCAATGAAAGCTGTGCGCGGCCCGCTTAGCTTCGACCGGAAGAGGCTCGCTCTCGACCCGCGGATCAAAAAAGTTCGCTTGCCACAGGGGTGCCTGGCGTGCTGAACTTCTTACGGTTTGGCCTTGGTCCTTTTCCAAAATGAAGGGGCCCCAGGACACGCAAATGAATACACACACAAATAAAACTATTCCCCGTGTTTTCCCATATTGTCTGGGTCTGTGTCTTCCCCCCCACTTCCCTGGGCGTCGACGATTAGTTGTGTCTGTGTATCGCTCTCCCTCCTGACAAAAGCACTCCCCCCGGGGGCTTCGGCGGCCCGTCCTGCGGGCCCCCTGGAAGGGGTTCCCCAAATAGCGGGAAAAAACCGTCCAAGGCGGGTCATGACGCCCTCCAGGAGGGCGAAGATGTCTGACGATGGCCTGCAGGATGCCTCCAAGACGGCCAGGATGGCTCCAAGAGGCCCCCACATGGCCCCAAGATGCACCCAAGACAGCCCAAGATGGCACAAGACGGCCAAAGAGGCCTGCAAGAGGCCCCCAGGAGGCCTCAGAACGGCCCAAGAGGCCTCCAAGAAGTCCTCCAGAGGGGCCTGAAGATGCCAAAACCATTAATGTTCCGCTGGTGTTTGAAGGATCTTGGCATTTGCTTCTTTCGGCCTTTCGACGGCCCAAGACGGCCCAAGCGGCCCCCAAAAATCGTTCCCAGAGTGGCCAAGAGTCCTCCAAGATGGCCTCAGGACTGCCCAAGAAGCTCCCGAGACGGCCAAGAGGGGGGCCCGAGAAGGCCCACGAGGCCCCCATGCCAACCAGGATGCCCTCCAAAACGGCCCTGAAGCACCCCAAGACGGCCTCAAGATGGTCCAGAGAGGCCCCCAAGACTGCTTCAGACGGCCCAGGAACGCCCTAAGACGGCTATAGAGGCCCAGAACAAGCCCCCCAAAGGCCCCGAAGAGGCCAAAGGATCCCCCCAAGAGGCCACCAAAAGGCGCCCAGGAAGCTCCCAGGAGGCCCCAAGAGTCGATTCTTCCTTCTCCTTCTCCTCCTCCTCCTCCTCCTCCTCCTCCTCCTCCTCCTCCTCCTCCTCCTCCTCCTCCTCCTATCTTCCTCCTCTTCCTCCCCCTCCTCCCCCTCCTCCTCCTCCTCCTCCTCCTCCTCCTCCTCCGATGTCCTGATTCTCCTCATTCTCCTCTTTCTCACGTGTCCCCCGAATGGTTTCAACGACGCCTGAGAGAACACATGGTCCGATACTTTGGACAAGCTCTATCTCGCCCAACTTTCGACCACATAGGCACCTCCAAAGAGGCAGGGGGCGGCGTTGATTCGCCGCAGGCGTCTTCGATAATACTCTCCTCGACCTTTGAGATCCTTGACGCCACCTTTTCCAGTAGTTTCAATCGCCTTCAACCCGTACTCTTTCTCCAGCACAACTTTAACCATATAGGCCCGAAATGTACTGTCCGTCTCCGTGCCGGCCACATAAGTGAAGCTGCCACCTTCTTTGATATACTGGGCGACGAGTTTAGCTTGCGGGTTCGCCTCTGTGCACCAATGGACAAGACCTGCGCACAACTCTCGAAACATGTTCCATGTCCATCCCTTGTGCTCGATGGCATCCGTAATCCAACCTGCGTCCTTGGGCGCTTCAACCAGCGACGCGAGGTCAGCTGCCCAATTGCCAACGGTACTGAAGTGGCCAGGCAATTTATCTTCAGAGTGCTCTTCGATTCCTTGCAAATCCCCGACCTCCTGAACCTGACCCTTTTCCAACGCATCGGCGATGTCCTCAGAATCCGCCGACCCCCGCTTGCCGGAGGTGCAATGGCGTGTGAGATGATTGGCTGTCCCCCCCCCATTTCCTAGAGGTCTCCTAAGCGGGGTCGGGGTAGATGGGGTCGGAGGATCGCGCCGCGTCGCCGATACATCGGCGATACATCGCCGATGCATCGACGATGCATCGGCGAGATCGGTGACGCATTGGCGACGCCAGCGTGGAGAAAATTGTGCTCCACATCGAGCCGCAGCGCCGATGCATCGACGATACGGCGCGATCCTCCGACCCCGTCTACTCGGACCCCATCGAGGAGGCCTAGATGTCCCATCCCCTGGGGCCTAACATCCGATCAGAGGACTAAGATTCCATCTAAGCTTACTCACGCTGGGCTCCAACACGCCAAGGAAGAATCAAAAACAACCAAGACAGCCTCAAGACAGCCCAAAAGCCTCCAAGACGTCCCCAGAAAAAAACTCCAAGAGGAACCCCGAAAGGACCCCCAAGAAGCCCAAATCGCCCGAATTCCTTACGAAAACGTGCACGTTTAGCTAGGACGGCCCAAGATGCCCCTAAGGGGGCCCCAGGACGGCCCAGGAGAGCTCCAGAACTGCTCCAGAGGCGCCCAAGACTGTCCAAGAAGGCCCCCAAAAAGCCTCAAGAAGGGCCTAAGAGGGGGACTCGAACCTCAATCTCGAGCCCTCCGCCCAAAGAGGACCCCCGAGAGACTTCAAAAGGCCCCCAGGAGGCACAACAGATGCTCCCATGGGCCCTCAGACGTTTCCCAAAAAGGCAAGGAGGCCTCAGCCGTGGACGTCGATTCTCCTCTGGGGGCCGGCGGAATGGCGCAAGCCACTTGAATATTGCCTCTCGGTCGGCGCAGCGCCAGCCAGGTGGAAGTTGGTCGCAGCGGCGCCCATGATTAGAGCCGGCGCTGGAAGGAAATATGGGGAGGGAGTATGAAAAGGAGGGAGGGGATAGAGGCCCCAAAGAAGTCCCCAAAAGGCCCAAAGAAACTCCCAGGAGGCCTCCAGGAGGCCCCCAAGAGGCTCCCAAGAGGCTCCGCGACGACGTGACTGTACGTGCTCCGGACGTGCACTCCGCGAAGCGAGAGGAATATTGCCTCTCGGTCACGTCGAAGAACAGCAAACTCGGCTCCATCGCGACAACCGCCGCCGGCCGAGTGAAATTCTTGCCATGGTGGGTTGCCTCGCACTGTTTCAGTGGATGCCTGGTGAGGTAGGAGTCTAGCTGTCCTGTGAGCATCGCAGATTCGCTCCCTTGGCATTAAGGGCTTCACGCCCTCTGCCGTCTCTCGACTCGCGCTGGATCCTCCACGATTGCTGCAGATTTAAGCGGACATCTCTCGAGTTAGCCCTATTTATCCGCATGTATCTTTGTCGACTTGGGCGTACCCCGATTTATCTGGCTGGATCACCACGAGTCGATCGGAGAGGTCGTCAAGCCCTTGGGGACCTTGGCCCAAGACCCGGTCCTCGCCGTTCATCAGCAGGTCCAGCAGACGAGAGAGCACGGCACCGCCAGCGGAGTGCGCGAGCAGGATGTACCGAGCCCGGGGGTCGAACAGATCAACCCGCGCGTGCAAGACCTGCATCGCGTGCAGAGTGAAGGCGTCAATCCCAGACTCTACGCTCTTCGTATAGTCAAGGAAGATCGGGTCCAGCACAAATCTCTCACCCATGAGTTTGTCGAGCTGCTTCACCAGTGGCAAGAAGTCCGTGCCCTGCCCAGAGATTCCGACCAGCGTCATGACAGCAATTTTGATCGGCGGCTTCTCTGACAAGGCCGCTGCAAACATTATGGTCAGCGCGACAGGCGGATGACTGCTATCCAGAAGCTGCGATGGAAAATACGAGGGCACGGCCTGCCGCAAAACCCAACAGGGCTATCGCAACACGGTCGATGGGTTGTTGTGATCGAACAGAGCCTGCCTCGGGCAGATCGCTCGACAGTAACACGCGTGGCAACAACACACGCTGGCACCAAGGGTCTCAGGCGTACAAAATGCTACGGATACTTCCAGAAAGCACCATGGCCGATCGCATTGCTTTCTCAATCGGCTCTCACGCTGTCCAAACTAAGTCGGAGCGGAATGACATGAAATTAACAGGTTGCAGACCATATCTGCGTGACTCCGCGTTGCTGTAGAGCCAACTCTGGCCATGCACAAAGGCGTAAACAAACAAGATTGACAAAAAGCTGCACCCCCCCCCAACAGCAGAAGCAATTAGAGCTTTCCAGCTTGGGGAGGGCACCACCCCCCGCAACAACCCTTGCGCTCCGAGGCGTCTATGATGCACCCCCGTAACACAAATTTGGGCAGTCCCACCAGCCCTTGAATGCATGAGTGGTTTAGGGGGGGGTCCTCTTCCGTCTTCCCTCTTCCTCTTCCGGGGAGGGTTTATCACTGTTCCCTATAGATAGCACCCCTTCCCCCAGGCGACCGGCAGCCAACCAGAGACAATGGCAACACCCTCCCCCATCCCTTTCAGAAAACAGTAGAAAACTCATGCTGGGGCAAAATCTTGGGTCATGCTCGTGGGTTCCACGAGCACTTCGCATGGTTGTTTGAGAAGGACGGCGGGGGTGCTATCATATTGCCTGCTGCGCGCAAGGCCACCATCCCTGTCAAAAGACAATGCACAACAAATTCTACACGCTTCGCGTAACCCCACCAGCTCGGCTCTAGTATGCTGTTGTCAGTTAGTAGGCCCGCGCCACGGTCTTACGACTCGCCGTGTGCGCTTTCGCCCGCGGCCGCGGGGGGGGGGGGGGGGGGGAAAAACATCCAGAAACGATGCCCAGAAGAATCGCATCGATCAGGGAAGTGGGCAGCACACAGAGGAAGCGTCCCCCATCGGAGGCCTCTTGGAGCGTCTTGGGTGCCTCGGAGAGCTTCTTGGGGCCTCTTGGGGGTCTCTTGGGAGCATCTTGGGGGCCTCTTGGGCGCCTGTTGGGGCCTCCTGGGCGCCTATTGAGGCCCTCTTGAAGCGCTCTTGGGAACCCTGGGAGCGTTCTTGGGGTTCTTTGGAGCCTCTCTTGGAGCCCTCTTGGGCCATCTTGGAGCCATCGGGAGTCCTCGGATGGCCATCGGAAACGACAAGGCGAGAAAGCCAAACACAAAGAAATTCCTAAGGTGCTGGCCTCTCCGGGGCCTCCTGGGAGAGTTTTCTGGCCACTGGGAGCCGTCTTGGAGCGGTCTTGGGGCATTTAAGAGCATCGTGGGAGCCATTATGAGACATCTTGGGATATTTTGAGCCATCTTGGAGGTCATCTTGGGCTCTCCCAGGCGCTCTTGGAATCAACTTAATCAGTGCCCCCCCCCCAAGAGGCCAACATGTGGCTAAAACCTTAGTGGAATCAATGATTTGGCATTCTCGCCGAAACCTTTTGGAGCATCGTGGGTGCCTCTGGGGGGTCTTTGGGGGCCTTTCGGGGGTCTTTTGGGAGCCCCTCTGAAGTATCCTGCGGGCCTCTTGGGGTTTCCTGGCCACCTCTCGGGGCCCCCTCGGGGCACCCTTTGAGAGCCTTAGCGGCCATATTTGGGCAATCTTGGGCGAGATCGATCACAGGAGGGGGGGTGTCATATTAGCCCCCCGCGTTCAGGAGGCCAAAATGGAGCCAAAACCATGGTAAAACCAATGATGGTTGCTCCCTCGCCGAAGCAGTTTTGGACGTCCCGACACCTCGCGAAACCCCTTTGTCCTTGTCCAGGGGACGGGGTAGGGGGAGGGGTCAAGACCCCCTCCCCGCCCGCAAGCCGTCTCGTTCACTCCCACCCGCCCCCCCAACACATACGTAGCACCCGAGTCTGGCCCGAGCCTCAGCATATTCGGCAGTCGTTTTTGGATGGGCACCTACTGGGGGCCAATCCGCCGCCGCCGCCGCCGCCGCCGCCGCCGCCGCCGCCCGCTGCCAAACCGCCGCCGCCGTCGCAGCCGCTGCCGCCACCGCTGCCGCCGCCGCCGCCGCCGCAGCCGCCGCAGCCGCCGCCACCGCCGCCGCAGCCGCCGCAGCCGCCGCCGCCGCCGCCAAGTGTATTCTGTATTGTTTGCTGACAGGGATGGTGGGGGGTGCGCATTGGGTTCGCTGCGCGTCCTCCGAATTCGGGGGCAGAATGTGTTTTGTACTGTTTTTTACAAAGGATGGTGGGGGGGTGTCGTCATGGACTCGGGTTGGCCCCCAGTCGCCTGGGGGAGGGGGTGTATATTAATAGGGAACAGTGATAAACCCCTCCCCGAAGGGGAAAAAGGAGGGGTGGATGAGGAAACTCCCTAAACCACCGACGCCCAGGGTGTTGGTGGGACTCTGCGGCTACATCTGGACCGTGCGCGGCCGCCCAACGATCACTGCCCACTGCGTTTGTGAAGGGCGGCGGGGGCGCTGGCATATTGCCTGCGGCGGGGGCCGACATGTTCCCCGATGTGCCCCGAACGTGGCGCAGCTGGCGCGGCTAGACCGCGCGGCACACATGGCGGACGTGGAGCCCGTGGCGCATCTGACGCGCCAGCCGTGCCTGGCACGCTTGGGCCTCGGGGGTGCCTGGAGCACCTGGTGCGCGTGGCGCGCCTGGCACGCGTGGCGCACCTCGCCCCAGCGTCGCACGCATGGCGTCTGCTTTGGTTTCCACTCGCTGCCCGTCCATAGAAGACCGCTCGCTGAACATGCTGAAGCTCGGGTGCTACTTGTGCGTTAAGAGGGCGGGTGGAAGTGAGCGAGGCCGCTTGCGGGCGGGGAGGGTGTCTTGATCACTGCTCCTGATTAATATACACCCCCTCCCCCGCTGCGACCGCCGTCCAACCAGGAACCACGAGGACGCCATGACGACCCGCCCCCCACCATCCCTTTCAAAAAGATATCCTGGCGCAGGACCCAACCACGCGCAGTTATGAATACCGCAAGTATGAATATCACCTTTGCCCGCGCTCCCTATGGGGCCACGAACCGCGCGGGGGGCGCGCCGAGATGCGCGGCGGGGCACGCGACGCAAGCGAAGACGATAGGTCTGTGCGCGAGAGACTGAGCGCGAGTGAGTCTGATTGTGAATGAGTCTGCGTGCGAATCAGTCCACGCGCATAAGCGTCGACGCCCATGTCGGCGCGCTCCCCCCGAGGATCGCGCCCGCTCCCTTCCCGTTTGTTTCTTAGCTTTCTTTTCTCTTTCTCTCTCTCTCTCTCTCTCTCTCTCTCTCTCTCTCTCTCTCTCTCTCTCTCTCTCTCTCTCTCTCTCTCTTCTTCTCTCTCTCTCTCTCTCTCTCTCTCTCTCTCTCTCTCTCTCTCTCTCTCTTCTCTCTCTCTCTCTCTCTCTCTCTCTCTCTCTCTCTCTCTCTCTCTCTCTCTCTCTCTCTCTCTCTCTCTCTCTCTCTCTCTCTCTCTCTCTCTCTCTCTCTCTCTCTCTCTCTCTCTCTCTCTCTCTCTCTCTCTCTCTCCTCTCTCTCTCTCTCTCTCTCTCTCTCTCTCTCTCTCTCTCTCTCTCTCTCTCTCTCTCTCTCTCTCTCTCTCTCTCTCTCTCTCTCTCTCTCTCTCTCTTTGCCCGCGCGCGCCCATGTCCGAGGCTGCGGGCGCGGCGCCGCACGGGGCCCCCGCGACGCGCGCCGGTCGCCCCGAAGGGGTCCCGGCGACGCGTGCGGGTCGTCCGCTGCGCGGAGCAGAGAGAGCTGGTTGGCTGATAGCGGGCAAGGCTGCGGCCGCCGGGCAGAGAGACGACGGGGGCGAGCGAGGCTCTGGGCAGAGCGCAGCGCGGAATCCCCGGGACGCGCGCCGGTCGCCCCGAGAGGGCCCCAGCGACGCGCGCGGGTTGCCCGCGGCGCGAAGCCAAACAGTCAGACCGTCGAGAGACGGCGAAGCTCGGGCGGGCCGCTTTTCAAGTCAAGCCTCGCGGATAAACTCGGTGAAGCCCAGCTCCCTGACGAGGGCCGTCGCCTCCCTCCTGCGCCGCTTCGTGCGCGTAGCAAACTACTCCAGCTGCTTCCGCAATCCCTCCGGCGGCCCTGCCGGGAAGAACTCGATGCGCGGCGCCCGCGTGAGCAGGAGGTCCTCGTGGCGCGCGGCGCGCGAGAGCAGCGCGTTGAGCTCCAGCCGCCAGTCGTTGTCCTCCTTCCTGCCGTTCCCCACCTCGTGGCGGCCGCAGTCCAGGATCACGCCTGGGCGACGTCGGCTGAGCGGGCAGCGCGCTGGACAGCCGACGGCCCAGGGCGAGAGTCCACGAGACGGAGAGAAGGTTTCCAAAACGTGTGAGGGGCCACGACACGTGTGAGGGGCGTGCCAAAATAGGGCGGCGCCGCCATGCGGGCAGCGCCGCTGGGGCCTTAGATGGAGCTCCCTATGGGGCCACAACAAGTGTGAGGGGTGTGCCAAAATTGAACGGCGCCGCCATGCGGGCTGCGCCACTGGGACCCCAGGTGGAGTTCCCTATGGGGCCACGAAACGTATGAGGGGTGTGCCAAAATGGAGCGGCGCCACCATGCGGGCTGCGCCACTGGGACCTTCGATGGGGTTCCCTATGGGGCCACGAAACGTTTGAGGGGTGTGCCAGAATGGAGCGGCGCCGCCATGCGGGCTGCGCCACTGGGACCTTGGATGGGGCTCCCTATGGGGCCATGAAGCGTGTGAGGGGTGTACCAAGATGGGGCGGCGCCGCCATGCGGGCTGCGCCAATGGGACTTCAGGTGGAGCTCCCTATGGGGCCACGAAGCGTGCGAGGGGTGTGCCAAAATGGAGCGGCGCCGCCATGCGGGCTGCGCCACTGAGACCCTAGATGGGGCTCCCTACGGGGCCACGAAACGTTTGAGGGGTGTGCCAAAATGGAGCGGCGCCGCCATGCGGGCTGCGCCACTGGGACCTTCGATGGGGTTCCCTATGGGGCCACGAAACGTTTGAGGGATGTGCCAAAATGGAGCGGCGCCGCCATGCGGGCTGCGCCACTGAGACCTTGGATGGGGCTCCCTATGGGGCCATGAAACGTGTGAGGGGTGTACCAAGATGGGGCGGCGCCGCCATGCGGGCTGCGCCACTGGGACCCTAGATGGGTTTCCCTACGGGGCCCCCTTATTGGGCCACGAAGCGTGTGAGGGGTGTGCCGAAACAAAAACATGCGGAGAACAAAGGCAAGGAGGGGGAGGAGGGAGGAGGAGGAAGGAGGAGGAAGGAAAGAGGAGGAGAACGCGGGGACCGTCTCTTCAAAACGAGGACCCAACACCACAAGATGGTTGGGAACAATACAAACAGCACTCTGCCTCACATTTGGAGCATGCGCGGCCAACCCGCT